AGAGAAAACAGGGGGCTTTCTGCGCTCTCGGTCTAACCACTTGCTGGCGAGGGTGATGTGAAACACAGCCAACGGCAAACAGAGGCAACCAGATTATGTATGCAAGGACCAAGGAACCCCCTTTCGTTACACGAGAAGATCGGGGGGGGGGGGGTGTCGTATTCTCCATCTACGTATTTTGGCTGACGACTGCTGGCAATGACAATGATGATTGCCAACTGTGAACAAAGACACAAAAAATTGTAAATGTATGCACATACCATCCACTAACGTAATGTGCGACGCCATTCTCAGAGAGCTTTCTCAATTTTCTGACAACCCACAGAGGAACTAATCAGCTACCTAAGTAACCTAAGTAACCTAACTAAATAACTAATCTGGAAAGTAAACTATGACTAAGCGTCGCAAACTAGGACTCGTGAACACAGCCTACGTGGCGGTAGCCAAGTTTAGCCAACCAATGAAGCAAAAGCAAGACTAGAATCTAAGAAGCTTACCCCACTGCTTCCTTAGAACACCGGTTCGTCGCCCGAAGCTACGTCAGGCTCAAGGTCATGACGCTTTAGGCCTGGGTCGGTAGCGAACGGAGAAATGCCGCTACGGATTCGAAGGACTGGAGGCTCGCTGCCGCCACTGCTTCCTAAGAACACCGGTTCGTCGCCCGAAGCTAAGTCAGGCTCTTTTCGGTTTACGTGGTAAGGCCGCGGCACTTTAGGCGCCTGGGCAGGTAGCGAACGGAGAATGCCGCTACGGATTCGAAGGACGGGAGGCTCGTGAGCTTTGGAAGGTATAGCTTCGTCCACTTAGGCTCGTGCGAACTAACTCGTCGTTTAACTAACGGATGACGGATCTGTGGTGGACATGGAGGTCTGCGATTCCCCGCCCTGCACATCGAAGAGATCTGTCCGGCACGGGAACTCTAACCCTCGAAGAGCGGGCATTAAGCACAAGTCTTCCTTGCTGTACAGCGGAACGCACCAAAACAGCTTCTTGGTCCCGAACACTTGTTGCCAATTCCTTCGGCATCCTATATCATACGGCCAAGGTGTTGCCGAGGTCTTCCCGTATGCTTCAATGGTAGTCGTATTGCTCGTCACCAGTGTCGCATGCATCACCAGAAAGCTGATGATGCTCACAGCAAATGCCATGTTGAAAAGGAACACCAGGAATGTGGTGGCCACCGCACCCGGCAACCCTGAGTGATCCAGGGAGTCGCCCCTGAAGAAATCAATGAACGGCGGAAGGAGCGCAAGCGATACAAAGGTCGTCTCAAGCAGCGTGTACGCCAGGAACAGAAGGAAGAACTTGTAATTCCGTGCCCCTACGCAATTAGCTACCCAGACGCAGTGATGGTCCATTTTGAGAACGCAACGTCCGCAGACGGAACAGTGGTGGCATCGTGGAGGTTTGTTCGCAGAGCACTTGCGGCAGAACCGCACCCGCTCCTCGCCAAGGATACCACCACCTATTCTCATGCCCCTCTCACTGCCGGCAACGTGCATTCCACCGACAGATGGTGCCGTCGATCCATACCCTCCAACGACGACATTGGTGGCCGCCCAGGACGGAGAAGTCGTTGGATGCAGAGCTCCCATCTCCAGACCTACACTTGGTGCTTGAGACCCCACCCCTCCCACAGCACTGATCATGGCAACTCTGCTACTCATCGAGCTGCTAATGCTGGCCTCCACGTCCGCTTCATCGCTGGAGGGATGCCAGCCGGGGGGCACGCTCCCCGGGTCGGTAAGCACGACAGCAAAATAGGTCCACAGAAGCATGACAAGGAGAAGGTGGAAGATGGCCAGGACAAAAATGGAGAGTCCCAGACTGGCCACTCCTTCAAAAAGCTTGGGGCCATAGTTCACAACGACAAGGGCATAATAAGACAGGCCAACAATAGCAAGGACCACGAGGACCATAAACGAGCCCAGCACGCGAAGGCACGTGCAAAACCGGAACACGTTGATGGCCATCTATATTGTCCCACACCACTCCACCCGAGCCAGCCAGAGACGGCCACTTGCAAAGTTGCTGGGTGCTCGATGCTGCGCACGTCCAAGCCAAAAAGTTATCGGCGAGGGTGGGGCTCAGGAATCGATCTTCTGCCTTCCGATAATATGGATCCAATGCGACGCCCCTCAGCCAATCGGATGTCCAGGCGGTCAGCCCCCGATAGCTGTGCCTTTACCTCCTGCCACATCTCTTGTCAGGAACGGAATGTTCCTGGCTCTCACATTGAGTTCTTCAAATTCACAACGTAGGACATTTCGCACACCACCCTCCTTATCCACCACTCCTCCCTGTTTCGCTAAACTCTCTCTGTGTGTGTGTGTGTGTGTGTGTGTGTGTGTGTGTGTGTGTGTGTGTGTGTGTGTGTGTGTGTGTGTGAAGCTACTCTCTATTTCGCTCTGAAACTTCTCTTATCTCACTCTGAAACTACTCTCTCTCGCTCACACACTCTCTCTCTGTGTGAAGCTACTCTCTCTCGCTCACACACTCTCTCTCTGTGAAGCTACTCTCTCTCTCTCTCTCTCTATCTATCTCTCTCTCTCTCTCTCTCACACACACACACACACACACACACACACACACACACACACACACACACAGAGACACACCGTTCTAGGAGTGTGTGCCAACCCACCCATCTACTAGTAGACGCCTAACCAAATGTCAATCTGGTCCCATCTATTCTTCTTCCGTCCCTGGCACTTTGGCAAGGGCAAACTATGTTCTGTATTCATTGCTTGACGCACACATGTCCCATGTCAACGCACTTTTGTTGCGCTGTATTTTGTCATGCTGACGGCACACAGGTGCATACGCATACGCTTCAGAGTCGAGACTTACGATTGCAAACGGCAAGTTTCATGTCTCTTCAGTCACGAGGGGAACGAAAGGTCTCCTTCTGGCATAAAACTCAGAATGAAAATTCGATGAACTCATCAGAGCTTTCCCCGATCACGCAGTGTGGATGTTCCTCTTGTGAACTCCCCACCCTGCCAAGAGACACACAAACGGTTTTCACAACAAGATCAGCCCCTAGGACAATAACCATGCTCGCACGGCCGTAAATCCAACCCCCCCACCTCCCACCCCACCTCCCACCCCACCTCCCACCCTCCCTTCACTCCTTTCCGCTTCTTCATTCTCTTTATCGAAGAAAACATAACATCTTATAGACTTTACATTTGCAGAGCTGTCCCATCGAGCCCTCTTACGGCCCCGTTAGCTGCTTGCCTGGCTCCGTCATAGCTCACTCCCTTCTCCATTCCGTTAAGCTTATATCCGTTCCGTTAGCTAACGGAACGGATATCAGCTTAACGGACACCTGGCACGAAGCATGAACGCTTACATTTGGCGGAAGAAAGGAGTATGCTTCCCGTAACAACATTCTTGGGGGGAAAAGGTGGGAGGAGGGTAAGGGGGGTG